CTATATCAGCATCAAAATCATTCTTTCACCATAAGAAACAGCAGGGGTTGGTGAACAGTCATAGAAATTTTCAGGGCTCTGTTGAAATCCATCAAAAAGATATGACGAGAGAAAAAAGTGCCTCATTTAGTTGAAGTTGAGTTTGAAATCTGAAGAAATCTGAGCGAGAAACAAATTTCCTACCCTCAAAAAAATGTAATTCATGACCAAACGGTAACAAGTGAGAAACAAATTCTTGAATTGTGAGCGTCAGGAGTGTCTGAAGATATATTGGCACAAGCCTCATGTCTCAACTTTGCTTTGTTAAGCAGATATGACAATTTGAAAATGTGTCTCATTAGAGAAATCCAGCGGTGATTTTGAACAAACTCTCCATTGACTGTCTATGGAGAGTTTTCAGACTTTGTGTTGACATTTTCTGAAAGCCAGCAAAAATACCTACGTTTTGATGTATAATTTGTGGGGGTTGAGTGGAAATTGAGCGAGTAGTAAGAAGTTGTTGGGACATGAAGAGAAAATTCAAAAAGCTCAAGTGTCCACTCTGAGTTAATTGCACAGCAACCATAACAACGCATGTATTTTCTGAAAAATCACAAAGCTGCAACTGGAAACTTAAAGAGGCATTAAATTAAAACGGTAACAGATATGAAAAAGCTGAATCATACATGAATAGCCCAATAATCTGAGAATGTTTTAAAGTTTGAATGGAGTTTCTACGTGAAAGTATAAGGATGTAGTTAAGTTTCAAAATCAAGCAAATTTTAGCAGAATTTTGGAAGTTTTCCATTCATTTTCCATGCCTGTGAGGCATTCACACAACTACACACTCCAAACACGCTGAACCAGCGGTCCCCAACCCCTGGGCCTCGGACCGGTACCGGTCCGTGAGTTGTTTGGTACCGGGCCGCGAGAGTTGAGGCTCAGGTGTGAAATGTAAATAATTTTTTTTTCGGTACCGGTACTAGTTTTATTTTGTTGTATTTATCCGCGACACCTTAAAGGCCGGTCCGTGAAAATATTGTCGGGCATAAACCGGTCTGTGGCGCAAAAAAGGTTGGGGACCACTGCGCTAAACTCAAAACTCGCTCTCTCTCTTTTTCTGCTCTCTCTCTTTCTCCTAAAACTTCCCCTGTATATGACTCTGGTTTTACGTGGCCTATCAACACAGTTTATAAACTGGTATATATCACCTTGTTGCTTTGTCTTTAAGTGGTCATGTGATTGGCGTACCACGACTACTTTATTCTTCCTCAGTCAAACAGCAGCACTCATGCCAGTTTTGCCACCTTAGTTCCAGGTGTTGTGCTAGACAGTGATCGTGATTACCGTCCGCGGGAGCGCGCGCAGCTGCTTAAAACTGTAGCGTCCAGATTACTTACAGCTACTTCCGCGTTAGTAATGCTGCTACTCGTAACGCCGTTATTCCCATCACTGACTACCACACACCAAATCCGGTCGTTGGTACGTCCTGGCTTGTGTAGCCACTAGATAACAAAAGCTCAACACTGTGCTTAGCATCCTGGAGCACTTCTGTTGTGTTTTGTACGTGTTTTGGAGTTTGTACGTGCTTCGGGGGCTTGAAGATATTTGTAGCTTATTTTAGGAGTTAGAAATGTGTGAGATAGAATGTAGAATAGTGTAGAGACACTGACACTGCCCTGGATGTAATAAAGGCCTGAACGTGTCATAAAATTAGGAGTAAACTTGATATTGTATTTGTTTTAAATGTTATATACCTATGTGGTATATGACTTTTGTTGCCATGATGCCAGGTCTCTCTTGGAAATGAGATTTTTAATCTCAATTAGATTTTTTTTACCTGGATAAATAGAGGATTAATAAAAAGGAGACCTTCCCCCACCTTGAGCTAAAAAAGTAAGCCAGAGAGAAGTTATAGCTGAGTGGAAATTCCCCAGGGGATGCCTGGTGTTTGTAACCTGATAATTGTGGTCTGGAGGGGAGAAACATCACAAGTGAGTGAGTGAGACGGTAGACAGCAGTGAGGAGGAGAGTGCGAATGCATCGCAAAAACACATAAATATCATAGACACTCATAAACAAAGCAGCATCTGGCTGCAGTTTGAAGAAGAAACAGATACTAACTAAGAGGACAAACCGCATATGCCCATCCAAGCTGACTCAGCTTGGATGGGCATATGCGGTTTGTCCTCAAGGCCTGGTTCCCACTGGATTCTTGGCTGACTCATCAAACAAAGACTTAACTATATTACTTAAAAACCACTTCATCTCTCCATTCCTCATGAGAGAGTTAGAGCAGGATTGTAAACATGTTCCTTATTTTGCTCCTCAGACTTGACTTTGCTTCTTCTTAAACACAACACTGAACTTTAAGCTCTTTCAGATTAATCACATGTACAGAGGGTACAGTCAGGTGTATTTTAACAGTTTCTGCTTTTACTTACAGACCTCAGGAAAAAGCCACGTTTGACAGCTCTTTGAAGACAGCTCCATTGTGGATTGTATTTAAAGGTGTTGCTGGGACTCATTTACTTCAAATAAACATTATCGACCAGCAGTTATGTTTTATGGACTTGGAGAGATGAGAGGAACAGCTGTAAGTTTAATTGCATACAACTCCAAATCAAAAGAGTTAGGACGGTATGTTATGAAAATGAAACTGAAAACAGTATTCCAATAGTTCTTGCAACACATTTAAAAAAAAAGTTGGAACATCCTTTAGAAAAGGAGCTGAATCTTTTAACATTTTCTATTATAAAAATGTATAATTTTTCAGTCTTTTCTCCATGTTTCTTAGTTTCCTCAGTCATATTTCCCTCTGTCTCTCGCTCTCTCTTTGTGTTCTCACTCTCGCTGTCTCTCTGTTTGTAGTCAGACTTTCATTGTGTTTCTCATACTTCCCAATTTATGTTGACAGTCTCTTGTCCCGTGTACATTGTGTTCAATTTTGCTTCCAAAGTCTCGTCAGTTAATTTTTTTTCAGCTGTGTTCCCCAGATGTGGCAGGCAGGTAGGTTAGGACCCAAATGTAAGACTCTCTGTCCTGATTCTCTCCTGTATATTGGCTCTCTCACTCTGTCTGTTGTTTTGATCTCCATCTTGCTCTGTGTGTCATTTGTTTAGAGCCTGCAGTGTTTGTATCCATGAGTATCTGCCAGTTAAGTTGGATTAAGTTATTTTTAATTTCCAGCAATGAAGCTGTTGTTCAGTCCAGCCTGATAATGTTACATTTGAGTCCTGACCTACCTGCCAGCCACACACAGCACTTCATGACATTTAAAGCTTCCTTTCTATGTAACCTCAATATTCCCATCAGTTTCCCCCTAAATATTTTATTATACAAGTTGTACTGATGAAAATACACAACAGATCATATTTTTTCTTTCTTATGATTTGCTTTGAGAACGAGCTGGCTATTCACAGTGAAAATCTTGTCCAACAGGTACAGCTGGGTCTGCCAGCATTTGGGTTGTACGTGAAGGAGAGGATCTTTCACTTTATAGTTTTTTGACTGTGTCTGGAAACACAAAGTTCTTCTGCAAGGAAAAATGTGAGCGAGCAGAAAACATCCTCATTAAAACAGATGAAACCACAGCTCAGAGCGGCAGATTCAGCATTGAATACAAAGATGCAGCTTCAGGAAGAGGAAGCCTGACTTTTACCATCACAAATATGAGAAAGTCTGACTCAGGAATGTACCGGTATGGTTTGGGTAAATCTTCAGCTCCAGATTCATACTCAGACTTTGAGGTCAGAGTTTCAAATGGTGAGTTTCTACTAAAAGTCAAAATTGGGAAACCAATCACCTACTCTCATACCCCCATAAACTCTCAGGCTAAATACAGTCCTATTTAAACCAGTCACTTTATTTATTTATTATATAATTCATGGATGTTCATCTATTTAACAGAAATTGCTAAAAACTAGAGTCTCCCGTGCACAGAGTGAGGGAGAAGAAATCTCATTTCCATGTCCCACTGCTGTCCAGGCACAGAGGAAGTTCCTTTGTAAGAATCCATGTGAGAAAGAAGGAAATATCTTCATTGACACAACTAATGACAAAGTTCAGAATGGCAGGTACAGCATTGAATACACAAAAGGATCTGCGTTTGAACTTCGGGCAACCATCAGACGTCTGACCAAGTCCGACACGGGACAGTACAGGTGTGGTTACGGGGACCCTTTATCTCCTGATTCATATGACACTGACGATATTTTGGTTGTAGATGGTAAGTTTCTTTTCAGAATAATAACAATTCTTGATATGTTCATCCTATAGCTTGTTGTTAAAATCTTGCAAATTAGGGATTAGATTAAAATTCATAGTAAAAGATGCCAGTCTTTCTACAATTCTCTCTGTTTTGTTCTTTTTCTGCCCGTCCTTTCCAGCACTGTAGCAATCAGAATTATTGTTTGAAGACCAGGAAAAATGCCCAACAGATTTATTTTACCAAGTGGACCATCCTGGCTTTTGATATACTGGTAGATGGTCAGGTGGCCAGGAGAGGAAAGAGGTGCAGTGCTTTCCCTGCACCTGTAAATTGTTATTATAATTTTTTAATTATGATTAAAATAATCCCACTATTGTCCTCTCTCACCTATTCACAGACATTTGGGACATTATTGGACACAATATTCATTGTAATTGGGTCTTTTTCAGTTACGTTGTTAAATATATATGCCCCCCCTGGAAGCGATATTTATTTCTTTAAGAAAATTATAGACATGATGGTAACAGAGACAGTACACTCAAAAAAATGAATGAGGTGGATTGTTCAGTGTATATTAATTATTTATTTTCATTTTACTTAAAATATATGTTTTTGTTAAGTTAACATATGTTTTTCTAATCAAGTCTACGTAATTGTGTCTATTATTCAACGTACATAATACTAATGTGTTACTTGATCGCATAACATTTAAGTCAATTAGGATCGATATACCTTGTATATCCACAAGGTGGCAGTAATGCAAAAACAGTTGTAATGAAACCGCGCAGAACAAGAAGGTTTCACGGCTTGTGCCTGCTCATGCACAAGACTTCAAATTTAACTGAAAAAGGCTGTTTTGGCGCCAAGCTGCTGTTTCTTTGAGAGGTAAGACCACTTTTTTCTTTGACTATGTTGTGTAGTATCTATATGTCCAGCATGGTTATATTTTTGCGTTTGTCTTACAAGACATGTTATATCGTTTGTACGGAAGAGGATTAGGGCCACAGGAAAAAAAAAAAAAGAATTCTGACTTTAATCTCAGAATTCTGACTTTATTCTCAGAATTCTGACTTTAATCTCAGAATTCAGTGGTACAGTGGTACAGTGTCGGAAGAAATGAGCAAACTGTTTATAATGTCAGAATGACATCATCTTTCTCCTATATATAAAAGTGCTGGCTGAGGAGCGCTGCCGGGTTGAACTTTGACCTCGGAGTGACGTGACGTTTGTTCGCACAACCAATAGAAGTGCAGAAAGTCGCAAATCAGGCATATTGTTCGCATAAACACAAAAATAAATAACGAAATAATCCCGATATTGTGCCAAAGACTGATTTACAATGTTACTTTGTGTTCTATGTGTAATACCTTTGCTTAAATGACTAAATGGACTGTGTATTTATGACTCTGCGTTATAGTCTTACATACATAAGTAACATTCATATGTACAGATAAAAATGTACAGAGCTATGTACACAAGCGTGTACACAAAAGTCTACTGCTGATCGAGCTGCTCAGTGGTCGTACAGTCTCATGCAGAGAGCGTGGAGGTGTTGTCCATGGTGGATGTTAGCTTAGACAACATCCTCTCCTCCCCAGTCTGCTCAGTGGACTTTAGCAGACCGCTAAAGCTGGCCCTCCCGACCAGTTTGTTAAGTTTCCCCCTGTCCCTCTCTGCCATTCCACCACTCCAGCAGACCACAACATAAAAGACAGCAGACGCCACCACAGTGTCGTAGAACATCCTTAGAAGACGTACTACCTACATCATAACCAATCAAGTCCCGCTTTTTTTTAAATACAGAAGAGGATTTATTATTTACTGAAAGGCTATGCCTTAGTTTGCTTCTTTCATTATTGTGTTTTGCCCTGCATAAAATAGATAGCTTTTCTGATAACTACAGTCAATACTCTCCTACTGGCATTAGCGGTGACCTAAGAGGCTTAACTTTAATATTGCTTTGCAGCGTAAATGTTGCAGAAAATGACTGTCTTTTCTTTCTTCCTGTGTGCAGATTGACTGTGACGTCATAGCGCTGATGGATGACGCAACTTTGGCAAACTACATTCCCTCGTACGGAGACCGAATTGCCGTCTTCAATTTCTGCAAAAGCAAGCAACCACTGTCAAAAAGAAAACTAGGACTTCTGCAAAAAGTTCACCTCTCAAAGTGAGAGAAACAGTGGCTGACATGTCAGATTTGGATGACTTAATAAGACTGTATTTCAGACTTTCTTTCAGTAACAAAGAAATACTTTCAATTTTAGCACATAGTCATCAGACAATTATAAGTGTTCGAACTCTAAAGAGAATTTGTAAAAGACTTGGGCTTTTTAGAAGGAAGAATCAATCAAACTTGGAGGAGTGCTAGCCTTTGTCCAACAAGAGATCATGACAAATGGACAGATGCAAGGTTATCGTTGGCTACATCTACGTGCAATTCAACATGGATTTGTGGTGTCACAAGATACTGTAAGATGCATAATCAAATTGCTTGACCCTCAAGGTGTGGAACTGAGACGAGCTCGACGGTTGAGAAGACGACAGTACAGCTGCAGAGGGCCAAATGCTCTCTGGCACATGGATGGCTATGACAAGTTGAAACCATATGGTATTGCTATCAGTGGCTGCATAGATGGTTTTAGCCGCTATGTTTTATGGATGGAGGCTTATACTACAGACAGTGACCCTAAATTGATTGCAAGTTATTTTCTGAAAACAGTTTCATGCATCAGCGGATGTCCAGAAAGGTTACGTGCTGACCGAGGTACCGAAAATGGTTGTGTCGAACAAATGCAGATGTTTTTACGGAGAAACCACACAGACAGTTTTGCAGGTGAGAAAAGTTTCCTTTACGGAAGAAGTACGGCCAACCAACGTATAGAAGGATGGTGGGCTACCCTACGCAAACAGAGTGCACAATTTTGGATGAACTTATTTCAAACTTTTCAGGATGATGGCCACTTCACAGGGGATTTTTTGGACAAAAGTCTTATCCAATTCTGCTTTCTCAATCTTATTCAGGTAAAAGCATGTGCTCATGCTATGTAATGTCTTAGCTGCATAAATAGAAAATATAAATATGGTTAGAACATTTTTTTTCTTTAAATTAAATATGAATTTTATTTCCATTTTAATATGTCTTGATGCATGCTCAATCAGCCAGGTAAGGAATGTTTTTTGACAGAACATTTCTCACACTGAAAACGCTACATCCAGATGAACAGAATCAACTTTTTGGGATTCCATTTTAATACTTTGATGGAATTGTATTCATGTTATCAGTGGAAGTAACTGCACCTTTCTCAGCACAGGTGCATGGAGCATTTTTTTTTATTTATTGCCACATGGTTTAAATTACTATGGAGTCTGTTACCTAGTGGTCCTTTGGGCACGGTTTCAGAAAGCAATCCTATCATTTGGTTAATTCTCTATTGAAAATTTATTGTAGAATCATTGCACACTGAGTATAAAGTGTTGGGCTATCTATTCAACAGCAGAATCATGCAGCACCATTCTGTGTCCATGTGCTGTTTAGTGAAAGTGCTCTTTTGTTGTTGCTGCTTGGTTTTACATTAATTAGAGGTCAGTTTCTATGTCTGTTGATTAATGAGTTAATAAGCCTCAACTTTGGCTAAATCTACTGGTACATGGTCTGTTTCATATACCGGTACTTATATTGTGTTGTTTTTCATGTAGGATGAACTTGATGAAGTTGTGAACACATGGAACTCGCACAAAATCCGGCCAAGTGGTAGTGCAGCATCGGGTCGACCAGTAGTAATGTACTCATTTCCAGAGCTGCACAGTGCTGAGGATAGACTGAAGCCTATTTCTATGGAGGATATCACTTTGTGTATGGAAGAGTGTAGCCCAAAAGGTCAACACCCCTGTGATGAAACAGTCTTTGAACTGTGTTGTCTGCTTATGGTAGAAAATGAATGGGATGCCCCAGGAGATCCACTTGGTGCTGCGGATCTGTACATTAGGTTAAGAGAAGAAATACTGCAAAGTATTTAAGGAACTTCAGTGTGTAAATGTACAAATAAATACAAAATATTTCTCTTTATCTTGATAACGTGATTTGATAGTAGGTGCCATGTCTTACAGGTACCTTTTATGCAGGTATTTCTGCACTGCATTAAATGAAAAATGTTTTTCTACATTCACACTACCATTAAACAGAAATGTTTATATATTACTTGAAAAAGCTGAATATTGTGATATTATCAATCAGTTATGAAACACATGTCAATCCTTTTAAAAGGCCATACATTAAACTGCATTTACAAATGTTATATTTTTGATTGAATCATAAGTGGTGTAAACCTGCCTACCAGTAAATTGCAATATAAATTTCTGTGTTTTGTTGCCAGACATGTGCATAGTATATAAAATATAAACTGACCAGCTCCCTGCTCATTGTTTTCTGTATCAACCTTTACTCTTAATATTCATGGCTGGAAACCCAGGCACCAGCATATGATATGCTAAGTGCATATCATATGTGGTTATCTGTGGTATGTTTCAGCAAACCATAGTAGCATTAACAATTCTAGGTCTTGACAACAGCATGTTTCTATAAACGTATCATTGTTAATATTTAAAGTCGTTATGCCTTTTGGGGAGCTTTTAGTGCAATTATATTAAAGCAAAGCTATAATAATCATTTACCCATATGAAGATCCATCACTTAATTATTAATGTATTTCACTTCTGTTAGTTGTAAGATATTTTAGCTGGTTTTTCATGTAAAATGACCACGAATCATTGCTATACTGATTCAGTGTTAGCTGTTGTATACAAGGCTCCTTCATGATATGAATCCTAAAATTATAAGAAACATACCAAAAATATTTTGACTTTTATTTGTAGTATCCCAGCAACAATGCAACAAAACAGTTCCTGCAAGTGGAACCAAGTTATTGTCCCATTAAGTGCAACATGTTTTACATTTATATTTGTGTATCTTTATGAAATATTTGAAATTAAAAATAAATGGTATTCTTCCATGTTACTGAGCTCATGTGTGGCAGTCTCTTGAATTCTGGCATGTTCAAATAGATATGGAGTTTGATGAACATATTCAAAACAACAATACAAATGTACTGTGTACAGTAACATTTTATTGGAAAAAGTTTACAAGAAACCTGTTCTTTCCAATGCCAATAACATGGCTAAAACTCATAACCGTATAAGCTGCCCTGTAACAAGAATGACTCAACTTTTAAAACAAACTTATAGATCTCATATAGTCTTGTTATGCATCAGTATACATCAGTGACTTACTGTAAAGACCATGAACACTGGCTATTGTGGTATCACATATTCCTTCAGTGTCATCTATGGTATAGAAATAAAAACAAGTGTGAATGACTGAGAACATACATGCATACAAATAAAAATGCATAATTTCTGGCAGTAACAAGACATTTTTTCAGGTGTTAAGATTAATACTATATCTGAGAACATGACAGTTTGGCATTACAAAAGGATGCCTGAATAATCACAGTACTTGACCACTGCACTGAAGTGTACAGTGTTTATTTATGATCTCAGTAATCAATAACCATCTTCAAAACAGACTGAATCCTTTAAGCAGCTTGAATCAATTTGATGGATGAATAACAGGTATGCTTAGAAACAATATGACATTAAGAAAATACTGGAATTTAAAAAAATATTTTCACCAACTTTATATGGAACCTTTGTAATCAACAACAAATGCCAAACTTTGATACCTTAACCTACCTTAACTAAAAATTGCATATACTGTAAAGCAAAATGTTTTCAGACATGACAAATGCTAAAGTATAAAATTGTACTTATTCCTTTTACAATACAGTGTTGCATAACAGCATTACTTTTACGTTATAACTATGTTCAGTTTTAGCCCTGACCTAATAAGAAAATACCATCTGAATGAATTAGTCTTTCTACTAATTACTTACAAAAGTATTTGACTGTGCTGAGCTCTCACACCACACATGGTGCATTAAAGAACGTTTAAGAGCAGTTTAATTATAGTTTATAGATCTTAAGTAATCTTTCTTCATGCTTTTGCTGAAGGTTTCTGTCTTACAGCTGGAAAGCTTGGATTTGGTGAAGACAGCTCTGGATATGGTAGTAAACAGTGTACCTGTTCCTTTTGTTTTGTGACTGTATTATGTAAAACTCAAAATGATAAAAGAAAATGAAATATTAGCCAAAACTAGACTTCTAACAGAGATGAGAAACTTCTCTCTAATTAAAAAAAGTATACTGTATAAGTTCAAAATACATAAAAATACATATTCCTAACATCTCTTTACAGTTATGCTCTAGTGTGCATGAGCAGTTCAAATGTAGCGCATTGCTGTGAGAGTCTAAACAATGTCCATCACCCAGACATTACTTTCAAGAACTGCATTAAATTCAGAACGAAAATCTGGGAAGTTTTCATAGCTGTTAGCTAGCTGCAGAACATTCCCACACGTGCGTCCGACTGGTCTTCTTGTAAACTCTGTCATATCTTGAAATTCCACATAAATACTGTTTGTTACTATAAGGTCAGATCCGGTGCAGAAACGCATAAATTTCTGAAGTTTAATGTTATCCAGCTCTCTGATGAATCTTTTGAGATGATTTTTCACTTCTTTTTGTTGTGGAGTCAAATCCACAGCAAATTTCAGCAGCTGGCACACTTTTTTTGAAGTTGGTTGCAGTTCAGAGAATAACTTGGTCAGTCCCTCCGGACTGAGGGAGATATGGGGGTCGATGATCTCCCGCCAGCAGTCAATAACAAACATTGGTTTTTGGACAAGCTCTTTGTGTGCTATTTCATCAAGGATTGTAGGAAGAGTCTCAGCAGTGATTCTTTTTCTACAGCCATAACTGTCAAGAATTTCCACAAGATCATCCAAGTCAACTGCAGAGAAATCTTTTACTGCTTCCATCAAAACATCACATTCTTGGCTGCTGACAAACTGTAGAAAGTGTGCTTTAAGATCACTGTAAACACCACTGAAAAGCACTTGTTCCATAAAAGGGATTGCAAGTTTATTTGGAAAATACTGACATTCTTGGTAACCTTTCAGGAGTATTCGCCCAACTGCCTTCCATTTTTCAGCAGGAAAATCATGGCGAATGAATGGCACTTTAATGGTTGCACCTAGGGTGCATCGCTCATAAAATTCATGCCAGAAGCATGTGAGTACATCTCTTAGTATTCCTGATCCAGTGCCTGGTTCTTCTGTGTTGTCTGGAAGTAAAGCAGTAATCATGTCATGTAAAGTGTCAGTATGACGTATGGTGATTGTTATTATGTTCTCTGAATTAGGTGGACTGAGGGGTACAAGAAAACCCTCATAGACTAATGTGTCTTCTGTATCTTCTTCAGCATCAAAAATTGGACCAAAAGTAATTTCTGGATCATCTAAAATTTCTGAACCAGCGATGACTTCATCAAAATTACCCCTGACTTCCCCCACTTGCAATGGATTAATATCACTGCCACTGCTTTCTGAGACAAACACCACTTCAGATGTCTCGCTGGCATCTTCTTCAGGATCTTTTGGTTTTGTTGCAATGTAGAAGCGTAACATTGTCAGTCTCGCTGCCTCATACATATTGCCAATAGACTGGCAGGTATCATCAGTAAGGTGGTTCTGTTTAAAGTCCCAAACCTCAAACTCAAAATCTGTTTCACATCCCTTAGGAGATATGCCATTAGGAAAAAAAAGTTTCTTTCCTTCCTGAAGAATATCTTTTAATCCAGCATCAGTGGCCATTTGAATTTTTCTAGTGCCACCTCCCTGCTTCGCTCTCACCTGTTTGGCTATTTTTCCATCACAATGTATCCATCCTATCTCAACATTGCGTGTTGCTTTTTGCTTCTTTGTCTGTCTTATTCCTGCATCTGTATGTGAAGTGTTCTCCTTTGGACTTTCTTTTCTGGTTTTCATTTTCTCACGAAGTTTTTGCAGAAGTCCTAGTTTTCTTTTTGACAGTGGTTGCTTGCTTTTGCAGAAATTGAAGACGGCAATTCGGTCTCCGTACGAGGGAATGTAGTTTGCCAAAGTTGCGTCATCCATCAGCGCTATGACGTCACAGTCAATCTGCACACAGGAAGAAAGAAAAGACAGTCATTTTCTGCAACATTTACGCTGCAAAGCAATATTACAGTTAAGCCTCTTAGGCCTCGTTAATGCCAGTAGGAGAGTATTGACTGTAGTTATCAGAAAAGCTATCTATTTTATGCAGGGCGAAACACAATAATGAAAGAAGCAAACTAAGGCATAGCCTTTCAGTAAATAATAAATCCTCTTCTGTATTTAAAAAAAAGCGGGACTTGATTGGTTATGATGTAGGTAGTACGTCTTCTAAGGATGTTCTACGACACTGTGGTGGCGTCTGCTGTCTTTTATGTTGTGGTCTGCTGGAGTGGTGGAATGGCAGAGAGGGACAGGGGGAAACTTAACAAACTGGTCGGGAGGGCCAGCTTTAGCGGTCTGCTAAAGTCCACTGAGCAGACTGGGGAGGAGAGGATGTTGTCTAAGCTAACATCCACCATGGACAACACCTCCACGCTCTCTGCATGAGACTGTACGACCACTGAGCAGCTCGATCAGCAGTAGACTTTTGTGTACACGCTTGTGTACATAGCTCTGTACATTTTTATCTGTACATATGAATGTTACTTATGTATGTAAGACTATAACGCAGAGTCATAAATACACAGTCCATTTAGTCATTTAAGCAAAGGTATTACACATAGAACACAAAGTAACATTGTAAATCAGTCTTTGGCACAATATCGGGATTATTTCGTTATTTATTTTTGTGTTTATGCGAACAATATGCCTGATTTGCGACTTTCTGCACTTCTATTGGTTGTGCGAACAAACGTCACGTCACTCCGAGGTCAAAGTTCAACCCGGCAGCGCTCCTCAGCCAGCACTTTTATATATAGGAGAAAGATGATGTCATTCTGACATTATAAACAGTTTGCTCATTTCTTCCGACACTGTACCACTAACGTATACACAGTTACATGCACTACATTAGTTTGTGTTAGCTAACATGTTGTGAGGGGATCGTCAGTCGGCCACCGTCAGAACAACAACCGGGGCTGTGTCGGTGGCTGTGTATGAACGCCACCCATTTTTCTGAGTGAAATATCCGCATAAACATTCATTACAGCTTCTCTCCTCCGCTGTACTAAGTGTAACTTACTTGTACACATCAAATATATCAGTGATATTGGCAGGCGGCTAGCATCTGTAACACAGCTCCGCTTAACTGCCTTGAAAAACTCTGAAATAGTAGAACAATAAAATAAAATGCAACGAACCCATCTGGGATGATCCTGCGATCAACAACAGTTAAAACGTCAATTCACCTAGTATACTGTAACATCGTGAAACACGTTCATTCCTATATAACATTATAAGCTAACAAGCATGCTAACAGCTAACCGTAACTGTTTTCCTGTAAAAATAGGAGACACCAAACTATTTCTCTTTTTTGTTACTCACCTTCTGCTCTTCCATTAATAAAATAGCATCTTCGGGGACCCCTCGGCCACGCAAAAAGTCACTTATATCCACCATATTTAGTGAATTAGTTCTCCACCTGCCAAACTGGACACATCGCTGTCACTGAAGCTGGAAGCCTGCAGGTGCCCACCTCAAAATTCTGAGATTAAAGTCATAATTCTGAGAAAAAAGTCAGAATTCTGAGATTGAAGTCATAATTCTGAGATTAAAGTCATAATTCTGACTTTTTTCTCAGAATTCTGACTTTAATCTCAGAATTCTGACTTTTTTCTCAGAATTCTGAGATTAAAGTCAGAATTCTGACTTTAATCTCAGAATTCTGACTTTTTTCTCAAATTCTGAGATTAAAGTCAGAATTCTGACTTTAATCTCAGAATTCTGAGAATAAAGTCAGAATTCTGAGAAAAAAGTCAGAATTCTGAGAATAAAGTCAGAATTCTGAGAAAAAAGTCAGAATTCTGAGAATAAAGTCAGAATTCTGAGAAAAAAGTCAGAATTCTGAGATTAAAGTCAGAATTCTGAGAAAAAAGTCAGAATTCTGAGATTAAAGTCAGAATTCTGAGATTAAAGTCAGAATTCTTTTTCTTTTTTTTCCAGTGGCCCTAATCCTCTTCCGTACGTTTGCGTGTGCTTGTTTTACATTAGTTTTACTGGGTCCTGGACATGCTTATTTTGTGGACTGTGTAAGAAACATTTTTATTGTTTTTTGTTTTATTAAGGGATTAGCTACAGGGGTTCATGGGGTTATTCTTTCAAGGGGTTATTTTTCCATTTGCTTTCTTGGGATTCCTTTTCTGTAATCCGAGAGTCGGAAATATCGAATAGGATAGCAAGGATAGCATAAAGTGACATTTAAAATCCAAAAGTCAAGGGCGAAAGCCACTGTGACACCATTGTTCTGCTCTATCAGTAATCTGTATTATGTAAAAATGGTCTGTAAATACAGCATGTTTCCTAGCGGAGTTATACATATCAATGTAGTTATAAATTACAGTTTGTGAAAGTACACACTTACTTTTTTTAATAAAATTATTCAAGACATATGAGTGGACAGACAATGGAGGTCGACAGACCTGGTGATAATTGCTTCTATAGAAAGTTAGCACATGGCAGTGTCAATCTCTTGCTTTTCTTCTGAGTAGTATTTTATTTAGTTGTAATTCAAACAATAATTTGCTTCTTGAAATTAAGGAATTAATTTTTTTTTCTTTATAAATCTCAGATCCTGCCTTTACCTGCTCCCTCCTATACTGATGTGGTGTATGTGGTATTGCTGAGCTTGTATGTGGTATGTGAACTGTTATACTTTTAAAAACAAAACTGTTTTATAAGTTAAGTTTTCTTTTGTGACCCATCCCATGCCCCTGTTATTTCTTCTCCACATCTGAACCATGGTTGCAGTTCAAGGGCCTGAGGCATGAAATTCTTTTCAGATCAGCTGTGATCAATATTTTTTGGAACTTGATAAATAACAATAAAAGCTGTAATGGCTCCATTAGCATTTTGTGTAAATGTTTGTGTTAAAATTATAGCTTTAATGAGGTCTTACTACATTAGTTTTAGTTTGTATATGTGTACATATAGTATGTATATTTACAGTACAGTATGTTGTGTTTGTTGACATATTTTCAGGTGGAAGCAGAATATGTGAGGATTACTACTGCTGCACATGTTCCAAGGCTTTTTACACAACTTGACCAATACACTGACCAGCTCATAAAAGTCTTCAAGAAAAAAGGAGGCGTTGCAGGGAAGAAAATTAGACAAACTTTGGCCCCAGCCACACAGGTGCGTTATTCTGTTGGTAGCAAAATATTATGGCTAATAAGATCATTTTCAAATTTAAACAGCTAGTGTATGGTAGCTGCACAGTGCACTTACATTTATATTAAGCAAGACAAAGTTTGGTACTCAAAACGTTGGAAAATTTAAATTACCTAAACATATGTAAAATCTGATCCCTTGATTTAGGTTAAACCAGAAGTGAATATTTTTATGTTATGTTTTGAATGCAAAAAAGATGATGTATTAGTTTGTCTTTACCTCCATTATGGACATATATAATGTGGTGGAAACCCTGCCCAACAGGTTAACTATTCATGTCCATGTGATGATTAGTTGGTCTTGTGTACATGTCTATCTGTGCAGTGGATATGTCATTCATTTTGCGTATAATGTGAGTTTCTGTCATCCTAAAGTATATCTGTTTTCTCTTCCTGTATCTCTGCCACTCTCTACAGAAGGAAAGTATTGAAAAGGGGAGGGAGTGTGTCTTCAGGGCACTACCTTTTTACCTGAATGAAGACCCAAGCATCCTCTTCAAAGAATAATTGGTTGGTAATTTTAGTTTAGTTTTTTATCTGTATTAAACCAAATTTTGAATAACTAATGTTGTTGCATGTTGTAATGTTGTTGTTGTTGTAATTTGCATGGAACCTGTTTAAATGTTTTGGGAAATCTTCTTGTATACCCAAACTATTTATATTTATCGTTGAATCTGTAGTCTGAAATAGTGGCGCACTGGGGTGCATGTTCCTAATATTGTGTTTACGTCATTAAAGGGTAGCTTTGGCCCTTTTTCTTTCTTTTTTTAAAACTGGATGCCATTTTTCTATGTTTTTGTGTCTAAGCTACAGCTGTTCAGAGGGAGCTGGAACAAATTACCCTTGCTATCTTTACCATCGAAAGAGCTGATGCCAGCACTCCTCCAGCCGATGTGGGTATAACCATCTAGTGTGTCCTGCATGACCTGGAAGACCTGGCCTCTGCATGTGCACTCTTAATGGGTGGGATATATGCACTGAATCTCAGTTAACCTCAAGACTGAAAGCTAAGAGACAATCAAAAGCATTGAGATTTAAAGGATTTAATTGAGAGATGATACTGCACCAGAAATGTTGAAGGGTGGTGTGTATATTAGCGTTCAAGGCATATTGTTATGAGGTGGAAATATATTCATATTCAGTTTGTGTTACATTGTGTGCATTGTAAAGGTAATTGCAATACATACTAAAAATAAGGGTAAGTTAGGAGGTTGATCTGATATCCCCGTGTTGGTGTTGTTCCCAGATCATCATACTAAATGTTGTTCCAGGATCAACATTGCAAGTGACCAATCAGAATGTTGTGACGTCATACTTTTGCGACTTCGGGAAAAACCGGCGTAAAACAAAAAACTGTACTTAAGCTGCGTGAAACCGCCTCTGTCCGCCGATCAACTGACCCTAACCCTAACCGTAACCCTTTAATAAACAGTAAGCAGAATTGATATTGTCCTTGCAACATTGGAATTTCATAAATGCACGAATGGCTTGGAATAGAATAACGTCACAACAATGTGATTGGTCACTTGCAATGTTGAACCTGGAACAACATTTTCATGATGGTCTGGGAACAACACCAACACGAGGATATCAGATCATCCAAGTTGGGAATGCAGGATGAATGTATATTTTGTGGACTTTTAAAGACGAACAATTGTTTCCATGTTAAAATGTTTACATCTGAAGTTTTTTGCCCAAACACTGGTAAAATAAATGTTGACAGTGGCGAGTGTTAAATGGTTACTGCTGTGCTGTTGCAAAAAAACTGAACGCTGACAAGCTGTTTTATTGTTAGACCATAATGTTGGCATGTTTTGTTAAAGTTTTATTTGGGATGGTGATGTAATTTTCTTTGATTGCTAATATCAGTGGACTATTTATTATTATTATTATTATTATTATTATTATTGTTATTATTGTTGTTGTTACATTTTTTTTTTTTTTAAATTGTGGCTGGTGAGGTGGACACTTCACTTTGCATTGTTAAAGGAAAGCACTTCATTGGCATTGTGTTACTGGACTGACCCTAAGCAATCATTGCAAATAGCAACTTTGCTATCCATTTTAGACACTAAAAGAAAAAAACACTCACAGACCTTACTAGCATCACATGTGCATAACTCAAGTGTCATCTTATCAATGTGTTATGTGATCTTCAATGCGTTTTTTTTCTCTTCTATTTCTGGTAGATACAGACATTTAATTTAAAGTCTTGATGTTGCATCTGTCTACATACTGTTAATTACTAACCCTAATGAGCTGTTGTGTTTTATTTTGGACTGGGTTTACACAAATGCTCACTGAATGTGTTGGCAATAAAATAAATTTTAAAAAATAAGTTGGATGTACTTAATTCATTTGTGTGGAACCTGTTGACAAAATAGATTTATGTAAAACTAATTAATAAAGCACAAGGTGGCTGAAAATATAATATTTGAATTAATCTAACTTAAATTTAACATTTTACTGCCACAAATAAGAAATGTGTTGAAGTAACTAATCTAAACTAACCTGAAAATATATCATCTATGTTCATACAACATAACTTGATTTAGTTAGTCTTAAATATGTCTTGTTAATCTTAAGTAGTTTTTTTAAATTAGATGAACTAAAGATTTTTGCTTTAAACTAACATAATTCAATTTCGTGGAACCTGTTGACAAAATTTTAATTAAAGTCAACGTTTCATTTTTTTGAGTGTAGGTTTTCTAATTGGCGGAGGAGATTTAAATATACATCTATAACCAAAGCTAGATATTTCCAATAGAAAAGCACAGAATACCAAAACATTAATTAAGAATATAAATACATTGATGAAGGAGGTGGGACTAATTGATATATGGAGAAACTTGCATTATACCTATTTTTCCTCACCGCACTTGTTATACACAAGAATAAATTATTTTATTACCTTTGGGGAAAATAAAGATAGAATAAACACTTGTGAAATTGGAGCAATAGACTTAAGCGACCATGCACCAGTATACCTGTCCATTGATTTAAACCTGCAACCAAAACTCAATAATTGGAAATTAAATTCAAGCTTACTGAATGATCCACACTTCAAAGAACAAATTAAGAAAGAGATTCACTTCTATATGGAAACGAATGATAATGGTGAGGTGTCTCCTCCTATTCTGTGGGATACTTTAAAAGCTGTCCTGAGAGGGAAAATTATAGCAATATAAGCAATTATAAAAAAAAAGATGAGAAATAAAAAATTAGAAGAGCTGCAAAATAAGTTAGAAGAATTAGAGAAAAGGCATAAAAGAAAAACAACACAGGATATATTGGAGGAAATCATCAAAACAAGAAATGAAATAAATGATTTGACTACATATGAAATTAATTTTTTTTTTTATGTTTCTTAAACAAAGGTATTACGAGGGAGGATCTAAAGCAATGAATGTTTTAGCCTGGAAACTAAAAAAGTAAATAGCAGATAATACAGTTCACAAAATTAAACATCCAGTGACAAAATTAATAAAAAATAAACTAGGAGAAGTTCAGAGTGCATTTGAAACATTTTATAAGACTCTTTATGCTAATAAGACAGAGAGTAGTATAGTTGAAATGAACAGTTTTTTAGACTCTCTCGATTTACCAGTACTGAATGAAGAACAGAATAAAACTTCGATTGAAGATATAACAGAAAAGGAACTAAGAAGAGCAATAAGGAGCTAAAAGAAGAATTAATACCAGTGATGCTTCTCACACTGAATTGGGTCTTAAAGAAGGCTCAAGTACCTTTTAGCTGGAAAGAAGCAATTATCTCTGCTATCCCAAAAGAAAACAAGATAAATTAGAATGTGTGTCATATAGACCAATATCTGTTCTTAATACAGATCATAAGCTGTTTATATCTATCATGGCTAGACAATTACAAAAGTTCTTACCTAGTCTAATTCATAATGATCAAACAGGTTTTATTCGAGAGCGCCAAATACAAGATAATGTACGGCGGACACTACAAATTATTAACCATATTCGACAGAATAAAGTAGAAGCAATGGTAATCAGTATCGATTCAGCATTCGATTCAGTTAATTGGAACTTTCTTTATGGAGTCTTGCATAGATTTGGCTTGCATGAAATAATAATTAAGACAATACAGGCACTTTATGATAACCCTACGGCAAGGATTAAAATTAATGGCTACCTATCAAATAGTATTAAGCTGCAAAGAGGAACAAGGCAGGGCTGTGCGTGCTCACCATTATTATTCACGTTATATCTGGAACCATTGGCTCACTATATATGGCAAAACAAAGAAGTAGAAGGTATTAATATCCATGAGAAGGAGCATAAATTATGGAGTGCCAGGACTGCCATAATGCATTAATTAAATACACCATTAAATAATTAATTAAATGTGGCAATAATTAATTAAAATTGGAATTAATTAATTAAATAAATAGTTATGACACATGTAATTAATTAATTATTGACACATTTAATTAATTATTTAATGGTGTATTTAATTAATGCATTATGGCAGTCCTGGCACTCCATAATAAATTAGCCTGCTATGCAGATGATATTTTAATATTTTTGGGTCAACCATCAAACTCTCTACCTAAATTAATGCAGTTATTTGAATACTTTGGTCGACTATCAGGATATAAAGTTAATATGAGTAAAATACAATTGCTTAAGTACAACTATATTCCATCAGAAGAAATTAAAAATAAGTACCAATTAGCATTAAAAAACGCAGGCCATTTTTTGATTTTGACGGTGTTAACTACTAGAAGACTAGAGGAAATATTAGTTATATTAATGGAAACAAAAACACACTCCTTACATGCCTTTTGTATTTTTTTTCTGTTTTTCTTCCTTTTCTATTTTTCTTTCTTTTTTTCATTTTTCTGTTTTTCTTCTTTCATTCCTTTTGTATGGATATTTTAGTTAGAAATAAGACCCCAAGTAATTGGGTCTTTTTCAGTTTAAACCTTTTGCAAACATATATGAGATTCTTGACAGGTTCCAGTCACACTTTAAAGAACAGTATTATGCTGTATTCTGTCTTGTTCTCTATGAAACATGTCTAAATGGAATCTTAGAAATTGAATTCAGATCTATGAAAGTGAATATAAATAAGTCTGCTTTTTGATTTTTCTATAATGGGCTCTGTGTTACAGTGGTGACTTACACTTCTACTCAGGTCTGTGCTTTCAAAGGATCAACAGCAGAAATACACTCCAAATTCAGATACCTATCGACTATAAATGACATAAAGACAAGAATCCAGAAAATGTTCTGGTTTACTACAGTCAAAGATAATGAGCCTGTGGACCTGAAAACAGATCCAGAGTATTCAGGTCGAGTTCAGTATCAGTGTGAAAACAATGACTGCACTCTGAGAATCTCAGACCTGAGAGAGAGCGACTCAGCTGAGTACAAGTTCATGCTCATAACAAACGATCCAGGAGGGAAATATACTGGATCACCTGGAGTCACTTTGACTGTTACAGGTAAAAAATATTTCACTGGAATTCACGTTAAACATTTCCATGTGTATTTGTGCAGATGTTGAGATATTTCTGATATAATGTCATTGTTTTTTTTAGTCCCAGATCCACAGCTCCAGGTACATGTGAGGAGATCAACAGTAAACTCTTATTCTAACTGGACAGAGCTGACATGTCACAACAACTGTCAGCTACCCGATCAATCTTCCTACATCTGGTACAGGAATGGACACAAACTTTCATCAGACGAACAATATTTACAGCTGAACACATTTGATTCTGCAGACCGTTTTTACTGCGCTGTGAAAGGATATGAGATATTCCCTTCTCCAACAGTGTGTGAGTTCACTACTTTTTGTTTCATTAAGAGAATTATATTTAATTTTTCTTTATTTACGTGAATGTGTCTGTATGTTAGTTTTAGTCAGAGGCCTTTCTTTTGGGAGGTTTACAATGTTTTCTTTTTAGAATATAAATTTCTAAAATTTGGTTTTGTTGTCATTCTTATGTTTCCTCCTCCAGATGCTCCAAAGCTTCCCTCTGTGTCAGTGAGTCCCTCTGCTGAGATAGTGGAGGGCAGTTCAGTCACTCTGACCTGTAGCAGTGATGCTAACCCAGCAGCTAACTACACCTGGTACAAGGAGGATGTCATCAACCCTCTCAGTTACCAAAACCAACATGTTTTCAGCTCCATCCTGCCCTCTGACTCTGGAAAGTATTACTGTACAGCTGATAATGACCTGGGACAAAAGAGATCTGAAAGCAGAACTATTGATGTGAAATGTGAGTAAAATACATTTATAAGCTTTAAGTTCTTTGATCTCAATTGAACAGTTAACATCAACTTTAGAGATAAGAGTTAATTCATCATCATGAAGAGTGAAAACAGATTTACTGCACAATCATGTCTGTTTATCACAATATAAGGAAGTTTGACAAGGAAATAAGTAAGGTTTCTGAATGTTACCTTTTATAATTTTTGTAGCGTTGTGAGAAGCCTGCAAAGACTTGAGTATATTTATAACCAACCATGTTGTCATTGTCCTTATTTCTCCTCCAGATGCTCCAAAGCTTCCCTCTGTGTCAGTGAGTCCCTCTGCTGAGATAGTGGAGGGCAGTTCAGTCACTCTGACCTGTAGCAGTGATGCTAACCCAGCAGCTAACTACACCTGGTACAAGGAGGATGAAAATTTACCAAAAGCATTTGGACAGAACTTCACCGTCACCAAGTTCAGACCTGAACACAGTGGGCGTTATTACTGTGAAACCCAGAACAAGCTGGGACGTCATAACTCCACCTTACAGCAGACCATTGTGCCAGGTAATCATTTATATTTACATACTGGATACACTCAGAAAGGAGTGCAGTCAAAAAGTCAGGCACAATCTACATTCATGCACTATGGCTAATTATTGGATGGCACTAGAATTTATAATAACAGATCACCTTCAAAATACCTCAGCACAGATAGAACTGTATTACTACCTAAATGTACACATGTGCAAGTATTTATTTTGCCAAAACGTTTCCCCTTCAGTGTTGTATGGACTCATAGCGCTGCTACAGATAATTAAACCAGAGCTGATGTTAAAAACTTTGCTCTTTTGAATCTACACTAATCCATCATCATCTTTAAAAGCATATGTTTGTATGGTGTCTGTCCTGTGAGGGCCAAATATCTCAAAATAATCATTAATGAGTTCAGAAAACCAGGCCTGCAACTTGATTTACAAAGATAATTTAAATATATTAAAAATAAAATACTGGCTGCACCTGTAACTGTTCAACTTGCCTGTGTGGTTAAACAGAATATGGCAGGAGTCCCACTGTCTGCTGTCAAGGCTTTCCTTATTCATGTGCTAAAGAGTCCTAAGAATCAACATTGTAACTTATCTATCACGATGACAAGAACCATGTTTATTACTAATGCTAGTCCTGTTTCCATGCAAAAAGCAGATTGTAACTGATCTCAGAATACTGAAAGCAGAGCCAGTGACATTTTTAACCTCCTGTTAAAAACCAGGGATTTATCCATAATGCCCATGTGCACCCAGCCAGATAAAGCTGCAGGCCACTCAGCTTGAAGTGATTTTTAATCGAATACAGACGAGGCTATGAAATTAAGATGTGCTACAGTTTTCAGTGGAATAAGGGGCGCGCCCAGTTAACCCTGTTTTCAGAGACAATAGCCAACTGCTGCCACTGTAAAGGATGAATGTTTATTGTAGGCTTTTTAATTTACAGTATAAAGTGCATTGAGACAACTGAAATGAGAGAAACGTTATGATAAAACACTGTTTGAGATTAACAGAGTGAGGTCACGTTACTCTGCTGTGTTTAAATAGATTTCTATTTTTATTTTTCACTGGAGAAGAACTTGGCTTCTGTAGCCTAAAACTCCAACACTGTTCAGGCCATACACAGGTCGAACGTTATGGAATACTCAATTAACTATTAGTGCTTTACTTTGATCTTGATCAGGAGCAAAGAAGATAAAAGCTGCTGGAGTAACTGCTGCTGTTCTCCTGTCTGTCACATCCCTCCCTGTCTTCCTTTGGATTCGGTGAGCAGATCTGTCGCATTAAACTTTTACTTTTCAGTCATTGTGTTGTTCTTTTGTTCATTATCATTTCATTCCTCAGAAAAAAGAGGAATTCCAAGGAATCATCCAAGACTGAAGGCAGAGCAGACAACAAAGAACAGGTGAAACCAGAAATATAAATGCAGTAAAAAAAAATCATCATTCACCATTCTAATCTAAGATCATTTTTTTCTATGCAGTGTGTCTCTGATCAGGAGGAGCCACAGAAACAGGATGATCTTCAGTATGCCAGCATCCACTTCTCTAAAAACCAGGCAGATCCTCTCTACAGCAACAGCAGTTCAGCCCCACAGACACCTGGAGGAACAGAGAGTTACACTTAAAAACTGAAAACTATTTGAATGAAAGAGTCCAGGCAACTAATCAGTCTTCCTAGATTGTATCACATCATCTCAACAAGAATAAATGTAACAAAGTTGTTGAACTTCATGCAGATCATACATGATTTAATTACGCTCACCACAGAAACATAAAATCTTTATTTTATTTTTTCAAATTACAAGTTTGACTCTTGTTAATATAAAAACCACCTACTTTAACTTTTTTGAGTTTACTGTGTTACACTGCTGTTAAATCAAATTAAAAAGTACAGCCCTGTGGTGAGCAGCTCCTCACATAATACAATGAGCCTCGCTAGAAGATTCAAATGAATATCTGGGAAATACATTGCCTGCTTGAGCATTCTTCTTCTGTTTTTAAGCTTGTTTTTTTTCACCATCATAATATAATTTCATGCTACATACTCAGAATCAACTAATTTCTTGTCAACAAAGACATAATTCCCATTAGCAGAAAGAAGCTGCATCATGGGAGGTTTGGTCTGTTCACTCAGTGAGCATCATAATTTAGCCAGCATGGTGGCTACTGGAGCTAGTTCTCTAGTTCTTTTGCTGCTCTTTTTCTTTGCTTATCACTTGTAGAAAAATACACGTATGTGATCAAACATGATTATCATAGTCTGTTTTCTGATGTTTGATATCCTGATGTATTATTATCATAATTGCATTTATTTGATAAACTATCAACTTTTTTAACAAACAATTAAATAACACCTGATTTTTCAGTAATCTTAACACTTCATCAGAGTGATATAAATGGTTTCTCTATATAAGGCTACGTCCACACGTACACGGGTATTTTTGAAAACAGAGATTTTCCGTTTTTGTTTTAAAAAATAATCCCGTCCACACGTAAAGGCAGAAACGAAGGAAAACGCTGCTAGGAACATGCCAAAGCAACAGGTGGCGCTATATTCCTACCCATGCAGAAATGTTGGCCAATCAGAAGTCTAGAAGCCTCGGTGGGAAAAAGTAAACAAAGATGGGGCATAGAAGCAGAACTGAGTCCTATGTGTGGAGGGACAGTAACTGTGTGTGTATATGTAAGCATTTAAACACTGCAGAGAGTACAATTAACAGTAATAGTATTGTAGAAATTAATTTCACCAAAACAATAACGTGGCGCACAGTTTGACGTCAAAAAATGCGCACACCTTTGACGCTGCGTTTTCTCCGTTTTTCTCGTCCACACGTAAACGCAAAAACTGAGTTTTCAAAAATATCCACCCTGGCAGGAGATTTTAAAAATCTCCATTTTCAGTGACCGAAAACGCAGTTTACGTGTGGACGAAAGGTGCAAACGCATAGAAAAATCTGCGTTTTCAAAAATACCCGGGTGCGTGTGGACGTAGCCTAAGAATACACAGAAGCAGAAACAATACATTTTGTTTGAAGTAAATATTATAATTAATCATCTTATAGAAGTTATATATGTTGGTACACTATGTAGATTATAGGACAAAGAAGCAGTTGTCAAGGACGAGTTCGGTTATATATACACAGATATACATACGTTACAATTACTTTAGTATGATGGGATTTCAGAGAAACTGTTCAAGTTGCTGTTTCTATCAGGAGAGGAGAGAGAAGAAGCCAGAGCAGAAGTGAGGTGTAAATTGTGCAGTAATATTAAGCTCTTGGTATATTCCATTGAGAAACAGTGAGTGCGAATTAGACTGACCAGAGTTCTTTAGGGCAGGAGAGGGTGGCAAGTGAGTATTGCAGGTAAGTATCCAAGTATAACAAAGAATGCACACTTGCACTGCAGAGCCAGGGGTGCATGTTAATGTTGTGAACAGGAAGGATGTCTGGTTTCACTGACCTGATTTCCACAATTTGACCACAGCAGAAAGTGATCAAATAAAGTAGAATGTTCTGAGTGAAACATCTTCTACTCTTCTGTATTTTCTTCTGCTTATTCAACAGACTTTACTAACATGTGGAGCCTAAACATTTTATTCTGCATGTTAACTCCGTGTAACTCTGGGCTTCTTGTTGATTCAAAGTGCTGCTGTTTTAAAAAGAGGATGTTTTTTTGATGATTGGCCCTGAGATATCCAGAAATGTTCACAGGATTCAAACCATCAATAATCCAGATATTCCCAAATGTGATGGCCAAACCCATGGCCACACTCTAAAGTCAGTAACTCTTGTATTTTCATTTCTTCATTTCAACACAGTAACACACTTTAGTTTCCAATAACTTTATTGATTGGTTTGGATACATTTGTTCTATTTCTAAGGGTGCACATTTAGTTTGCTTATGTATTCATACCACTTCATTAGTTTGATTTTTGACTAACCTTTGTCAAAAAAGGTTTAGGTTTAAGTGGTTTTTGATTTTCTTCTTTGGTGTTTAGTTTATTAACAAACCAGATGATACTGCACTGTTTGTTATTTACAATTGTGTTTTGTTTAGTTATCCCTTGTGTGTCACTATGGTCTGATCAGCCATTATATATACCCTTGTGTGTCATTTCATGTTTAGGTCAGTTATGTTTGTTTGGGCAGTCATTAGAGTTGGATGTCTTGAGACCGGTCTTGATCTCGAGACCACTTTTACGTGGTCTTAGTCTTGTCCTGGTCTCGACGGACTTTTGTCTCGGTCTTGTCTTGGTCTCGCTGTCTCAGTTTTGCTGTCTCAGATGAACATAGTGGTCGGGAGATTTGGAGTCAACAGTATCCATGACACACAACGTAACATTCGATAATGGGTCATGCACAAAACCATCAGCTCTAAGAGCCGTGCTTAGAGTACTTTGTTGGGAATCAGAAGAGTCGACTCCCATTGAGCGAGAGCCGGCTCCTCACTTAATTTCCTTTCGCTGCTCAGCTCTCACACAGTGACACACAGTGGCTCGCTGTGCTCAAATCCCTCCATATTGGGGCATATTATTATTTCGCCTTTCGCGCCCCTCAAACACAACTAAATGCAACCCATTAGATTGAGCAGTATGCCATATCAGTAAGTTACAGAAAGGTCAGAGACTTCGTCTGTCATAACATTGACCACAAAGAGTTTTCGGTAAATGCAAAAAGAAGCATTTGGCAAAATGCAGATTTTGCAAAGTCTCCTTGACCGATACAGCCGGGACTACTTCAACCTTCACCAGACACCTGGAGCGCAAACACCCTCAAAGGTAAGCTAGCCAGTAGCCAGCTTTCCATTTTCAAACTCTTCTGCCTACCTTTCCAACCTCAGATGACCAGGTCATGTTCATGTAATATTGTTATTTATAATGTGTTCTTCAAGCGGTATAAATTATTTAGGGACAGAATTTTTGCAACTTTCTCTGCAGACTTAACTTGTGAAGATCAGAGATGGGCAGTAAAAAAATAATCAGATTACAGTAACGTGTTACACGTAACGCGTTACTATAATCTGATTACTTTTTTCAAGTAACGAGTAAAGTAAGGGATTACTATTGCAAAAACGGTAATTAGATTACCGTTACTTTTCCGTAGAAACGCTGCGTTACTGCGTTACTAAAACCGTGATTTTTTTGCGAGAATGTCTCATGACAGTAACATAAGTGCGACGTTCATGTCAACAGCTGTGTGCAGATCAACAATGGATAATATATCGAGTGTGGGAGAGAGTATGAGTATGCAGCGTTTAAAGCGTGGAAGTACTGACCTTATTTTGAGTTTGATTCCATAAAAAGTGACAAAAACATTAGTGTCCGTTGTGCGTGGGAAGAAAAAACATTTTTACAGCGAAAAAAACCCCTAAACAAGCTCCGAGTGCACAACGACGTAATGGGAAACTCACAGAGAAACTCGTGGATTTTTCAACAAACCGCTGCGGCACACCTGCACCAGGGCACACCTCTGCCTGCCCCACTCCTGCTTTACAGGTGAAAATAGAGCAACAGGACCGCTGAGTCTTTGACATTATTTATTTTCTGCTGTGTTTTACTTGCATCTATTTGAAAGACTGAGTGTAAACACAAAAAATATTTTATGTTATGTGCTGAAATGTGCAGAAAATAGGTTTAAATGTTAAACAAATTTATTCAAATCAGAGAATGGTGCATATAATTGGGCTGAAAGCTCTATCTCTTTATTACCTATTCAGGTTGTAAATCGTGTTTTTAAAAAGTAACTAAGTAATCAGTAAAGTAACGGGATTACTTTTTTGGGGAAGTAATCAGTAATTAGTTACTGATTACTTTTTTCAAGTAACTTGACCAACACTGGTGAAGATTGTAACTAACGTTACATGCTATGTACAGGTAGCTAGCACTAGCACTGGCTATCACCTACTTAAATAGTTTTCACTAACTTTAGGTATTTTGGTGAATTCATTGAGCAGAAATATATCGAAACCATTTCAGTGAGCACTTTAAGAGCTAGTATGGTGTGGTTTGTTGTCGACTTTAATGGGCATATTTATGTGGTTGCTGACTCGTAAGGAAGGACGGGCGTTTCAAGAGTGTCCCTTTAACATTGCTAGGCTAACAGCGGTATTCTCAACAGTGAAGCTCAGATCAGAGCAGTCTATGGCTTTGGTCCAGATAGCTCAGATGGCAAAACTGAGTCCTAAAGTTCTAAAATCGAACTTAAGGATCTTTGACTATGACTGTCTTAGGTGTTTTCTACTATGTTGCCCTACAAAACCAGTCCAGTGTGTAGGGGCTACTGCAACATGTCATTATTAGACAGTTATTTTGTATTGGTGTAACTTCAGACTTTATTGAGTAGTTCATTTCTTGTCAATACAGCTGTGTCTGATAGCTGACTGACATGAGGAGGCTTAATGCAATATGCAAAGTTAATGCACAGACATTTTGTCTTTTGCAGATTTAATTCAACTGTTTTTCTGTTCTTGTTATTTAAGGTCTTGCAACCCTGAACACTCCAGTATTTTCATTATTACTAGTTGTGCCTAATGATCTATAAATGTGTCACACTGGATTGGGTTAGGTTATTTTGTATGCAAAGATCTGCCTCATTGATAGATTTAAAATCACTGTGCTTGTAAG